GCCAACAGCTATGTGAGTAGGCCTTCTTGAAAGTGGAGTCAAGCCTTCAAATAACTGCAGACCATCCGCATCCTGACTGCAACTTCATGGCAGACCCTAAGCCAGAACCACCCAGCTAAGCCACTCCTGGTATTCTAACCCTCTGAAACTGTGTGAGATAATAACTGTTTATTGTTTTAACCCGATCTTCCCAGCAAAGAGCAGGAAATGTCTCTCCTCTATTCAGCTGATCTATTTGTTATTAGAGTTTAATTTTTTTTCTTACAGAGGTCTTTTGTATTGATTAAATTCTTTCCAAGATACTTTATTTTCTTGTTGGTTATTGCTGCTATAGAGAAATGCTTTTGATTTTTATAGGTTGATCTGGAAACCTTGCTGAACTCCCTTACTAGTCCTAACAGCTTTTCTGATCATTCTGTTGGTTCTTTCAGGTAGTCAGTCTTATCATTTGCAAATGGGCTTTATCAATTCCTTCCAAAACTGATACCTCATTTCTCTTTCTTTCCTTACAGCAATAGCAGTTGTATACTAACTAGTAGTATTGAGAGCGAACATCCTTGCCTTGTTCCTAATCTTAAAAGGAAAATGCATTTAAAATTTCTCTATTAGGCATTTTTGCTGTAAGTTTTGGCACAAAACCTTTATCAAGTTAAGGAAGTTCTCTTCTACTCTTACTTTGTTTGCTAGGAGTTCTTTTTTTAAAATATCATAAACAGGTACTGAACTTTATATTTTTTTCTGCTTTGAGATTATCATGATTTCCCCCTTTACTTTATTAATGTGGTCACTCATTCATTTTCGAATTTGGATCATGCTTGCATTCCTGGGATAAATCTTACTTGTGATTTTAAAAAAATACACTGTTGAATTCAGGTAGCTAATATTTTATTAGAATTTCAGCATTTATATTAAGTGAAATGGGTCTATAATTTTATTGTCTTGTATCTTTCTCATCTGGTTTTAGAATCAAGAGTATACTAGCCTCAAAAAATGAGATGGGCAGCATTTGCTCTTTTCCTATTTTCTGGGACAATTTGTATATTTGGGAATTAACAGTTCCTTGAAAGTTTGATATAACTATATCTGCAAAACCATTTGGGTCTGGGCCTGAAGGTTTTGTTACAATGAGATGGAGTGTCTTTGACTATCACTTCAGTTTTTCTTAAAACTTGATATTTGAGCACACTTTAATTTTTCCAGAAACTTAGGCCTTTCGTCTAGGTTTTCAAATGCATTAGCTTACAATATTTAGCCTCTTTTTGTGTCTGTAATTTTCCCTCTTTTTGTTGTGTATTTTGCATTCTTTTAAAGCAGTCTTGGCAGAGGCCTATCATTAATATTTGCAAAGAACCAGCTTTTTATTTTGTTATTCTTTATCATTACTTTTTAAATTCTCTATTGCAGTCATTTCCTTCCTTACATTATTTCCTGTGACTCACGGAGTCATGGGTTTGTTTCTCTTTTTTCCCAAGTTCTTGAGTTGAATGCAGATCATTTATTTTTCAATCTTTCTTCTTTCCTGATAAATGTAAAGCTATACATTTTCTTCTATTGACTAATTTTGCTGGGTCCCCAAAATTTTGAACATAGTGTTCTTAATATTTAGTTCTAAATATTGCTAAAGTTCCTTTACGATTTTTTCTTTCACCCAAGGGTTATTTAGTAATTACTTTCCAAAAATGGGGCTTTAAAAAAACTTTTTATTATTGCTAATTTTATTGCATTATGGTCAGAGAACATGCTTAATACTGACACTTTTGAATTCACTGAGGCTTTCTTTGTGCCCTAACAAGGTCTATTTTTGCAATTGCTAAGAGTAAGCATAACAGGAGGCTTCTCCATTTGCTAAGTGAGGGAGATACATATATTATATATGCCATACATGTTTTTTATATATATGTGTGTGTGTATATATATATATATATATAAAATCATATGTCAAGCTTGAAAATGTTCAGGGCTTCTTAGGAGTGTGTGTTTATGGCAGACGTATCTTCTTTGTCAATATGTCCTTTATCTTTTGTGATCTTAAATTTTATTTTGTTATCTATGAGAATGGGTATCCCAACTTTCTTTGGGCTTTCATTAGTCTGCTATCTTTTCTCCATCCTTTCACTTCCAACATTTCTAAATCTTTGTATGTGTGTGCATACTGTTGGACCTTTTTTAAATCCAGTGAGGATCTGTGTTCTAAATATTTTTGTAATAACTATATTAAAACTTCTGACATCTCATTTCATGTTCATTTACAGTATTTTTCTGTTCCTTTTCTTCTATCATATTCATATCTAATATTTTTAGGTCCTTTTTATATCTCTTGTTCCTGTTTTCTATTCTAATATTCTCTTATTTATTATACTTATTTAAAATTCTTCATCTGTCTATCCCAATACTTCTGCTTCACATATTATGTCACCCAGTGTGGTAGCTGGCCTCCAATATAGTCCCCAGTGATCCCCACCTTCTGTGTAGTTCCCTCCCGTGTTGTACTAGAGTTGGTCCAAGAAAATACAGCAGAAGTGATGGTATGTCATTTCTGAAGTTAAGTATAGTAGGCACTTCGATTCTGTCTTGGTCACGGTCTCTTCCCCGCTCGCTGAGACCATGTGTTGTGTGGAGCTCCATGGAGCGGCTCAGGTGGTGAGAAACCGAAGCCTCCTGCCAGCAGCCCGGTGAGTCGGCCATGTTGGAAGTGGGTCCTTCGGTCGAGTCACGCCTTGAGCTAACTGCAATCCTGGATGACAGCTTGACTGAACCCTCAAAAGAGACCCTGAGTCAAAACCACCCGGCTAAGCTGCTCCCAGATTCCTGACCTTCAGAAACTGAGACAGTAAATATCTAGCGTTCTAAGCTGCTAAGTCGGGGGAGGCGAGGGGTGGTAATTGGTTATACAGCAGTGGATAACTAATACATCCAGTTTATTTTTCTCTGGAGGTAGTTATACTGGCCCAGTGTCTAGTTATTTGGTGGTGAGCTCATATTCCCCTGAATTCAGCAGCTGTTGTGGCTGGTAAAATGTACTGAGGGGAGGCTGAAGGCCAGACTTGACTCTGCTCAATTGCCTGGAGTTCAGGGGGTAAAGGGATGTGTGGGGAGATGAGCCAGAAGGTGGACAGTCCCAGGCACCACGAAAGCAGACCTGTCACTCCCATCTGCTATCACACTACCTGACAATTCCTCTGGTAGGCTTTCCACATTTAAACCCTAAGAAGAGGCCATCTCCCTAGGTGTCCCCACCGGCCCTGGTGTCTGGAGGGGGAGAGGTGGAGTGATGGCCTTGGGCTGCTCACTTCCTCCCCTCAGCATGGTCCTTGCTGCCCTGATACTAGCCCCTCCTCAGACACCTATACCAGTGATCTGGATGATTTCTGCAGTGAGGGGGCAGACAAGGACCTTCCCAAGTCAACATGGGGGAGAGGTAAGAGCCAGACTCTACATCTCTAACCTGTCCTGTATTTGCTGCCTCCAGCCATCCACCACTCAAAACACAGGCCAGTTAAAGACACACTTCCATGTCCCCACAGGCCTTCACAGCTGTGCTGCAGTTTCTGGAACTCATGTTTCCCTCCGTAGTTTCTCCGGGGCTACTTTCAGGCAAGGGAATCAGTGGCTTATGCTATTTGCCATCTTGGCAGGAACCAGAAGCCTCAAGAATCCTCAAGGACTAATAGAGGTCTCTGCCCTTCAGGGTATCTGAGCTTCCTATTCACAGTCAGGACTCCTCTGGCCCTCAGAGGCTCCAAGCCGCCATACACACAACTGACTTGTCTGGCCCGTCAAATATGTGCGCTCGTTAATCACAGAATGCACCCAGAGGGTGTCAGCTGGTTACTGACAAAGGGGACATTTCAGATCCTCAGAGGGCCAGATATCGCCATATCTTGGATGGCCCTGGGTGGGGGTCTGAGCCCCGTATCCACAAATGTACTTGTTGGACCCACAGTCTTGGAGCACCCTAGACACAGAATGGTCTTGTCGTGCTCTTCCAGTGACTGAGCCCTCATCTGAGGAATTTGGTAACTGGGGGGTGATGGGAGCCTTTTAAGGGTCATCTCCAGCTTTATAGAGCATTACTGGGGGAGACAGATGAGAAGATGGCTGCCCTGATGCCCCTCACCTCTGTTAGCATTGCCTAGTGGAGCAACTTCTGGCCGGAACCTGGCACAGCAAGGTCATGACCTGAAGGACCCCAGTTACCTCGCCTGCCATGTCCTTTGTGGAGGACAGTACCCAGCCTGTGAGATAATCCACCTTCTGAGAAGTTAAGTGGGAAAAAGGACCTTCTTTTGATCACTATCCTCCAAATAAGCAGGTGACTTCTTTTAGGGCCTGAGCTTTATCAGTGCTTGATTTGTTTGTCTACATCAGTAGGATGGAGAAGGCAAATAAATGGTTTCTATTGCTGAAACAGTTAGACAGGTACCCACGAGCCGGAAACCCAGTTTAGGGCTTAGAGCCCTAGGCATGGCAAGGCCACAGTCCCTCAAGCTGGCCCCAAAGCAAGTGACAAAAATAGGAGCCTTAGACTCGTGCCCAGGACTGCCAGCACTAGTGCCTAAGACTCACAGGGAAGGGTCTGGATCCTAGAAATGGTGACATGTGGAATGCCAGAGGTGGCTGGCCCAACGTTTCTCTCTCAGTAGCTCATACTTCCCAGTCTTTGTAATGAACCTTGCCCTTTTTGAGTCAGGAACTCTCTTTCTCATTCCTCATTCAGGGGCTTGTCCTGAGAATATGCATTCACACCCATAATCCAGACCCTTAGAGGCAGACAGATGTACCACAAAACAGCCTTAGGCCTTCCTCAAGCAGTCCTCGACCTGGGCTCACCTTCTAGAACTGATTCTCAGCACTCCCCCACCACTCTCCCGCCACTGGGGAAGCAGAAGCCCCTTTCCACCAAGTGAAGTATTTCTGCTCCATGAGGTAAAGAGCCCCCGAGGACTCCACTACAACAAAAACCAGGGAGGGGGCAGAGAAATACACAGACCACGAAGACCTTCATGTGTGCAAAGTACAGTTGTTAAAAACAAAACGACAAAAACAGAAAAAAGAGGCCATGGCCTCCATGGGGCAGTGCCAAAGCAGAGCCCCATACTCTCAGACCTGGGGAGAGAGGGCCCCATGCTCTGACAGGTCTAGGGCTGGCAGGCAGGGAGGTGGGGTCTCACGTGTAGGCCCTTATGGCAGAGAACGAAGATCTGGTAGGGCTGATGGTGGGCTGGAGGGAGCCCAATCAAGATGGGGCCGTGGCCTCGGCTCCCTCCTCTGAGTCCCACACCTCTGACTGCAGGTAATCAGCGAAGAGAGCCTTGGCCCGGCGCAGGACACGCCCCAGGTGGTGTTTTCGCACGAGACGGTCAAAATGCATGGCCAGCTCGTTGTAATCCAGCCCATTGCGCATGATGTGGTCACGGTGCTCCAGCAGGATGGCAAGGCAGAGGAAGAGCATGAATGGGTTTCCCCGGCCAAACTCCTGGGGCGGAGGCAGGCCCAGTGGGGGTGAGGGTGGCAGGGACTTCCCAGGGTCTTGTGGGGATCCCAACTCTGGCATGGAGGGGGATCCTGCAGCCATGTCGCCAGCGGGAGAGGCCTCCTGGGTGGATGGCGGAGATGAGGAGGATGGGGAATCAGGGTGGGAAGAGGAAGAGAGCAATGGGTCTGGGGAATTCAGCAAGGGCTCAGAGAGAGACTTGCAGCTGATAAGGGCAGCTGGGCGGGGCAGCTGGACCAGAGGGTCCCTCCTGGGGCCTGTGTTATCCCTGAGTTGCTGAAGGTCATCCAGGCTGGCTTGTCTCAGGAGACGCCCCCCACCACTAGGCCCCTGGCTGGTCATGGCCAAGTGGTCCACAGCATCTTCGAAGGCACGGCCTCCACCGGCAGGCCTTAGCATGTGCCTCTGTCTCACAGGCCGCCCCCTGTGGCCACCAAAACCAGTGTCTGCCACTTGGCTGGGGGGTCCGACAAGCTCTACCTCGTGTTCAGGAGGATCAGGGGGCAGTGAACTCCAGGTGACCTCAAGCATGCGGAGGGCATCGTCAAAGGCGAACTCACGCTTGAGCTCGAGTAGTAGCCAGCGGTAACAGAAGAAGAGATCATCAGCACCAGCTTCTTGCAAGTACTGGTAGAAGTCAGGGTCAGCATGTCGCAGCAGCAGCTTGAGATGGGCGAACTTGGTGGCCATGGCACGGCCATCAGGATGGAAGTTCGCAGACAGGCGCTTCATGATGCCACAAAAGCAGACAAAGGCATGGCCTTCGTGGTCCATGACAGCAAGGATGGGCGAGGCAAGGTCGCTCATGCCCTGGCAGTAGGACACCTGTGGGTGGGTAACAGCATAGGTGGTAAGCAGGTCGTGTAGTGCTCGCAGGTGTGGGCCATCCTCAGGCCCTGCATAGTAGGGGTGGGCCCGGTCAGTACGCAGGACATCCTTGAGGACTGTACTTCGGATGAATTCCAGGTCCTCGGGGCTTGCTCGCTGTGCCCACTCGCTCTTGAGCTGCTCATACTCGCGACTCTTGCGTTTCATGTAGTCCATCCGCTCACGGCCTGTCAACCCGTCTGGATACACATTCAGCAGGTACCGCCACACCACCTGGCCAGGGACAAAAGGGATGAGGCTGAAGTTCTCCAGATGAGCTGCCACACCCCAGTGTCTATCTGTCATCACTCACCCTCCCTGGGCCTTTGTCCTCCTTCAGAAAAGTCTGCCTTCCCACCTCTGACTCCTGCCCCCCCCTGGAAGGAGAGCTTGCTGCCCTGGAATATCTCCACGGCCATCCCACAACAGTGTGGTCCCTGCATGTGTCTCATGAGCTCTTCATGACTGCAGGAGTGATGGAGCCAATGTGTGACCGAGGAGGCTCACCTTCCGCAGGGAGGGCTCAACACCACCATGATAGATCCGCAGGCGCAACTCCTCGGGGCGGGAGAGCTGGCCCTCGTGGTTCAGGTATGTGTGAAACTCAGCATCGCTCAGGGGTGGCTTGAAGGGCTTGACATCTTCCCCATATGACCAGCTTAGCACCTGCTGGACCTTAGACAAGGTGCGGCCCACCTGTGAAGGAAAGGGGGCGAGAGGCCACCGGTCAGCTGGGCAGGACAGGGGCAGGTGCCAACCAGAATGCTCAGAATCAGGAGTGCCAGGTAGGCCCTGCCCTCCAACCCTAGCTGGGCCCCAGGGGTCCCAGAAACCACCTGAGAGAGTATTGACTGTGTGAAGGGCAGGGCAGCTGTCGTCAGCGATGACCGTTTCTCAGCCAGCAGCACGTCGGAGCCAATGACATCCTTGGGGCTGATAATGTCCCAGTCCTCCAGCAGCGGGCCTGGGCACACAGAATGATGTGATGTGAGAATGGGAATGAGAAACCCAGACCTCAGGGCCAGGTTCCTCTCCTACCAAAGCCGGGCCACCCACAGGGCAACAGACGGCTCCCACTCTCTCTTCCCATGTCATCCAAGTCACACAAAAATTAAAACTGTTTTGGGTAACTGTCTCACAAAATGGCTGGGCAGACTCTGATAGTAATATTTTAATAATATAAAGTAATATTTATTAGCACTTACAATGAGCCAGGTACCCTGACAGGGGCTTAACTTGAATGTAAATACTAAGAACATGAAACAACACTTCCATAGTGCTAAGTGCCAGGAAGTGTTCTGAGCTCTTTGCAAATATTAACTCATTTAATATTCACATCCATCTGTAAGTTAGGCACCATTATCATCGCCCCTCTTTCTATGAGGAAACAGGCACAGTCAGGATAAGACAGTTGCCTAAGGCCCCACAGCTAGTGAGTGAAAGAACCAAAATTTGAAGCCCAGGCCCAAAGCTTGAGAACCCAAACTCTTAATCTCACATTCATGCTAGTCCTCCTCCCAAATCGGTATGCACTACCATTACCATTCTCATTTTACAGACGATGACAAAAACGGGTGGAACAACCAGTAAGTGGCCAAGATTCTACAGCCAGGAAATGGTGGGGCTGGGATCTGAACCTTGTTCACCTTGCTCCAGCGCCCAGACAGATTTTAGAACAGGCATTTGTGGAACACGTATGTCACGTATGTTAGGCAGGGGAGATAATGCTATGCTTGACTTTATCCAGTTCTGGCCCATGGAACATTGCAGAAGTTCGCCCCTTCTCTGTCTTCTTTACTCCCCCTCACGTCCTTTCTTCTCGCCTCAAATGTGAAGCAGTGGCTGAAGCAGCACTGGCCACCTCAACGTAAATTCGAGAGACTGAAGAGATGTCAGCCCTGGGGCCACAGAGCTGCTTAGCTGACAAAAGCAACGTCCAGTGGCTTTCAAACTCTATTATATGAAACAAATCAACTTTGATTTGTTCCAGCCATTGTCATTTGCAGGCAAACACCATCCCTAAGCAGCATTTCCATGGAGTCCACTGTACTCTCCCACAGAGCTGAGGGGGAAGCAAACCCCAGGTCACATTTGGATGTCACTGCCTCTCCTTGGATGTCTCACAGCACGCTGCAGACCTAAGGGGTTCAAAACGGGAGCCCAAGACCCACTCCAGACACGACCTCCTCCTCTGCTCCTCATGTGAGGGAACAGCACCCCTATCTGTTCCAGTTGCTTAAGCCAGAAACCTGAGGGACATCCTTGCTGCCTCCCACTCTCTCAACTCCCAGGGCCAAACTGTCACTAAGCCCCGTGGCTTCTGCATGCAGAACATACTTCAATTCCACTTCTTCTCTCATCTCCACAATGTGGTGGCCTGTCTCAGCCACCACATCTCTCTCTTGCATCTGCCTCCTAACCAGCTCTTGCTTCCTCTTTGCCCTTCTCCACCTTCTCCCAACAGCCGCCAGAATGGTCTTTCTAAAACATTAATCAGGAGCTGGCCCTGTGGCTGAGTGGTTAAGTTCATGTGCTCCGCTTCGGTGGCCTGGGGTTCATTGGTTCGGATCCTGGGCGCAGACCGACACACCGCTCATCAAGCCATGCTGTGGCGGCATCCCACATAGAAGAACTAGAACGACCTACAACTAGGATATACAACTGTGTACTGGGGCTTTGGGGAGGAAGAAAAAAGAGGAAGATTGGCAACAGATATTAGCTCAGGGCCAATCTTCCTCACCAAAAAAAAAAAAAAAGCCTGAAAAAAATTGTTAAAATGTTAATCAGGGCATTAAAACACTTCACAGGTAAAATGAAGATGGTCACACTACTGAACAGGCAAAACGAAGGTCAACAGTGTGAAAGACCAAAGATAAGAACTCCTTCAAGGCACAGGGCTGAAGGTTGATGATTTGAGCAGAAAAAGTAGACATACCTGGAGGGCAACTCCAGGAGACCCAATATGCAAATACTAGAAAATGCAGGGGGAGAAAAGGGATCAGGTTGGGATTATAATCACACAGGTATGAAGGAAAATGTCACAGAGATGAAGAAATGGGTCATCAAGTCTCAGATAGGATTAATCAAGAAACAGTATATACAACAGGCCTCTGCTCACTATTCACATGCTGGTGAAGTGCCCCAATTCTAAGAATGAAGCAAAACTCTTGCCAGCTTCCAAAGACAAAAAGCAGGCCGCTTACAACAGAAAGGTCAGACTCGCAATGGGCTTCTGTTCCACAACTCTGGGAGCAAGAAGCAAGTGGTTCACGGCACCCATGGAGCAGAGAAGAAATGCCTGAGATCCAAGGGCCCTGCACCCAGCCAAGAGAGCATGTCTCTATTGCAACCAGAGAAAGACATTCTGATCGTGAGAGTCCAGCTACCCCATGCCCCTTATTGGAGGAGAACAAAGAAGTGCTCTAAGCAAATTACTACTGAATGAGACTACAAGGGCTCAAGGTGGGGGAGGCAAAAGGGAGGGCAAACAGTGATGGGCCCCAGGTGCTTTTTTTTTTTAAAGATTTTATTTTTCCTTTTTCTCCCCAAAGCCCCCCGGTACATAGCTGTATATTTTTAGTTGTGGGTCCTTCTAGCTGTGGCATGTGGGATGCCGCCTCAGCGTGGCTTGATGAGCGGTGTCATGACCATGCCCAGGATCCGAACGGGCGAAACCCTGGGCCGCCGAAGCGGAGCACGCGAACTTAAGCACTTGGCCATGGGCCAGTCCCTCCAGGTGCTTCATATATACAGTTAAACAGAAAATGACACAGATACTGTGATGGGGAGTTTGTAATATTAAGTGGTACATTAGGATTCCTGAAACATAAGTAACCTACTATAAAGAAAAGATAATGAGAGGCTGGAATTTAAAAAGAAAAATAATTACTATCTAAGTAAAACCCAGAAGTTAAGGGTTAGGGATCAGAAGAAGAAGAAGAATTTGAAGTGTTCTAAAGCTTCCATTTCAAGGGCCAGGTAGGGTGGGAGACACTGGAGGGAAAAAATGGCCTAAAGATTTCACTGCCATTTGTGTCCAAAAAAAAAAAAAAGCATAAATCCAGCGGTGAAGTTTTTATGAGACATACCTTGAACTAGGTGACAAAGAAAGGTTGCAAACTGAAGAAACCTAAAGGCATACCTGGCAAACACAAACAAACAGAAAGCAAGAGCAGCAACGTGAATGTCAGAAAAAGCACCGCTCAAGGCCAGAAATGTTCCAGGGAAAGAGAGCCATTCTTTATCGATTAAAGAAAGGAAAAAAGAACCCATTAGTAAAATGGGCAAAGGATTTCCACAAGCACAAACTCATCTAGTGGCCAAAGCTGATCTGAACTGACATGAGACTATATATGGTCTTCATGTAACCCACTAAGTGTGCATATACACACGTCCCTGAAGAAACATTCCAGTGTTTCATGATGGGGTGCTGCCCCAGGCCCCGCTTGTGGTATTCCATAATACATGCTATACGCACTACATCTCCCCATCATAAAATTGTCAGACTTCCCAAACTCTAAATTAACATATAGATTCTGTGCAATGCCAATTAGAAATCTAATGGGGTTTTTCCTGGAACTGGATAAAATTATTTTAAGGTTCATATGAAAGAATTCACATTTAAAAATAGTTAAGAAAAAGATGAGCCAAAAAAAGAATAGTGGGAGGATGGTAATGCTTGCCTTATTAAAATTTACCACAAAACCACTGTGCTAAAAATATGGTGTTAGCATAGCAATAGACAAATGGAGCCAACCAGTGGAATGCAATAGAAAGCCCAGAAATAAATCCAAGTTCATAGGGGAACTCAGTATATGACAAAAGCGGCATTTCCAATCAGTGTAGAAAAGCTGGTTATTTAATAAATGATGCTGGCATAACTGACTATGTGGAATTTTTTAAAAAGCTAGGTCTACTTATCACAATGTTGACAGAGTAGAGATTTATATGTAAAAAAGAAAATAAGCATATTAAAATAAAATGTAAGAGAATATTTATATAAGATTGCGGATGGAGAAGATGCTTCAAAGTAAGAGGAAAAACTCAGAAATCATAAGGGAAAACATCAATATAGGTATAAGGCTGCATACAAATTTTAATTTTTGAGAGGACAAAAAAAGACACCACAAAGCCATAAAACAAAATATAAGCTGAGAAAAAATATTTGCAATACATATGACAGAAGGAGGATTCAGATCACCAATGCACACATTGGCTGAAGGTCTAGGCGCGGTAATCTCCTAATTGTAGAGGTGACAGAAACTGACTTTTCCTTAGAAAGAGGGACCGGGCCGTCCAAGTGGTCACAACATTCCTGTTGCTTTCACAGTCATGAACATGATCACAAGAATGCCTTAATAATATTCACAACAGCTCCATCTATTGGATACTTATGAATGTAGAGTATGATACCATTTATGTTAAACACACACCATCTGTGTATATATACAAATACGAATCTACTTTGTATCTCTGTATGTGGATAAATTTGTGTGTGTGCCTGTCTGAGTGAATAAATAAAGGACCTGCAAGGTTACGTATCAAACTGATCAAAGTGGTTCCTGCAGGGCAAAAGGGCAGGGAGTTAAGATTAGGCATAGTGGTTCCAAAAGACCAGCATTATTTGAAATGTTTTCATAATTTTTAATAAGGAGGATGTATTTACTGGGGATTAAAAATTAGTTTCTTTAAAAAATGCAACTCCAATCAAATTCCCATTAGGATCTTAAAGCAATGATAAGCTAATTCTATTAAATGAAAAGAACAGTAAGCGCACAAGAATGTTCAAGAAATATTTTTAAAAAGGAAAACATTAAAACATATCAAAAGCTATGTGATTAAAACAAGATGGAACTGGGTTAGGATTTAACAAGAGATCAATATAAGAGGATCAGGAATTCAGAAACAAACCCATGTATACGCAGGAATTTGGTAAATAAGACAACAGCAGGAAAATAACAGACTCATCAATAACCGGAAAGCTGATGCTTTTTTTAAAAAAAGACTTTTAAATGTCTTTTTGCCAAACTGATGGGTGTGCATCTCTCTGCTTTATTTGCATTCCTCTCAGTTCTTATAAAGTTGGGGTTTTCTTCACATGTTTATTAGCTGAGCAGATTTGATTTCTTTACTGAAATACTGCTACTATGTCTACTTTACAGCTGAGCAAACGAGGCTTGGGGAATTAATTAAGCGACTGACCTAAGCACATAGGGCTACTCAGTGGCAGAGGTTCCTGTGTCTCTGGCTACTTGTTTTTTTCCACTTGTCTCTCTGCCTGTCTCCATCACCTTTCTCTCTGACTCTTGTTTCTCTCTCTCTCTGCCTATCTCCCTTTTTCTCTTGTCTCTTTTTCTCAAGGATGTCAATCTTAACAAGCCCAAAATTTTGTAGAGTCAAAAGGTTAAGAGCAAGGACTCTGGAGTCAGTTCAGCCACTACCTGGGTTCAAATCCTGCTCCTCCACTCACTGTCTCTGTGACATGGACAAATCCTGTCCCCTCTCTGAGCCTCAGCTTCCCCATCTATAAGATGAGGATAATGATCAGTCCTAGCCTGTAGGACTGTTTTGACAATCCAATGAATAAATATTATGTGTGTAGAATGGCCCCAAGTGTTCAACCCATGTTAGCTATTTATATGTTACTATGACATTAATAAAATGCCTCAGTCATCCCAAATGGGCACATGAGTTCCCCGAGGCTGGGAACCATGCCTTCCAATCCGCAACTTTTTATTTAAAAAATTTTCAAATCGGGGCTGGCCCCGTGGCCGAGTGGTTAAGTTCGCGCGCTCTGCTGCAGGCAGCCCAGTGTTTCGTTGGTTCGAATCCTGGGCGCGGACATGGCACTGCTCATCAAACCACGCTGAGGCAGCGTCCCACATGCCACAACTAGAAGGACCCACAACCAAGAATATACAACTATGTACTGGGGGGCTTTGGGGAGAAAAAGGAAAAAATAAAATCTTTAAAAAAAAAAAATTTTCAAATCTTCAATAAAGTTAGAAAGAGGAATACATCAAACATTCACACATCCTTCATCTAGGTCTCCTAACTGTTCACATTTTTGCCACATGTGCCTCATCTCGCTCCCTCTGTATATATACATATTATTTTTTGCTGGATTATTTGCAGACATTATGACACTTTACCCCTTAATACTTAACTGTGTTTTTCCTGAGAACAAGGACATTTTCCTTCAATAACCATGATACATTACCATACCCAGGAAATATAACACTAATATCTAATGTATGGTCCATAATCACATTTGGGGAGCATGTCTTTTTTTTTTTTGAGGAAGATTAGCCCTGAGCTAACATCTGCTGCCAATCCTCCTCTTTTTGCTGAGGAAGACTGGCCCTGAGCTAACATCTGTGCTCATCTTCCTCTACTTTATATGTGGGATGCCTACCACAGCATGGCATGCCAAGCGGTGCCATGTCTGCACCCGGGACCCAAACTGGTGAAACCCGGGCCGCCGAGAAGCGGAACGTGCGCACTTAACCGCTGCGCCACTGGGCCGGCCCCTGGGGAGCATGTCTTAATTGATCTGTGTGCTCCCAGGGACCAGCACAGGCCAGAGTTGGGGAACAAATATGAGAAGTGCCTGAGAGTTCCAGGGAACAAATGAATGAGTGAGCAAGAGTGCAAACAAATGTATATGAGTGCAGAACAAGTGAATGAATAAATACAACTACTTTTATTATAATCAGCATTATTCTAGTTACACATTATAATAACTGAAACAGACAACACTACAGCTCTATTGTTATATTGAATTAAATAATTGTAATATACATTACTAGATTATATGCCATAATGGTAAATATAGTATGATAATTATTGTTATCAGAGCTAATACTTTTTGAGCATTCATTATGTAGCCATGCACTGTTTCCGGCATTTTACATGAATTTCCCTGATTAATCCTCATGGTGGCCTTAAGATATCATTATCTCTACCTTACAGGTGAAGAAATTGAGGCCCAGTGGCCAAGCCAGGTTTGGACCTAGGATACCTTCCTCCCTAGCCCACTGTGAGGGAGGGTATTGCAAGGGGTGGAGTCATCCTATCGGGAAAGGGTGGGTCCCAGAGCAGTGCCTCTGGGATGCCAGGTACTCACTGTCCTCAGTGGGCCGAATATCTACACGCAGCTGCAGGTAAGGTTTGGAGGCGGTGGCAAAGGCCATGCTGAGGTCCCAGTCAGACAGGAGTGAGAGGTAAGCTTCCTGCCCCAGCCGATCCCGGCCCAGGTAGTTGATGCCAAAGTTCTTCTTCCTGGACAGAAGAGGCGTGGCAGCTCAGTGCCCCAGTTTCCTGGAGGCCCCAGGGACAGTTTCCAAAAGAAGCAGGGGAAGACAGAAGGTGCTGAAAACAACTTCCCACTATGTGCTGGGTACTGTGCCAAGGACTGCGGGCACCCTGAGGTCAGATCGTTTATCTCCACTTTGTTACACAAACACAGAAACAGATACACACCTGCTTGTATCTGGAGAGCACATTGGAAACTGGTAAAATGTTGGTCCCCCCTAGGGAGGGTAACAGGGTAGCTGAGGGACAGAAGTAGGAAGAAAGCAGCCTTCTTACTGCATAAAAAATAAAGCAATCTGTATGTTATTTTTCACAACAAAAAATGCTTATGCAAGAAAAGTCAAATAACAACTAAGAATTTGTTCCTCAGATACACTGGCACAACTGTGCAAAGAAGTATGTTGTGTGATAACTACTGTAACCATGGAAACATCCTCAACAGCAATCACGTTTGCACTCTTTGAGTTTGTTGCCATGTGCGCATATTCCTCCAAAATAACCACCACAACAAAATAACCATCACACCTGCCCCCAAGAGACACCACTTTTCAACTATCAGGTTGGCAAATTTTCCAGTGTTTTCCAGTAACCAGTGTTTGTGAGGGAAACAGGCATTTTTACATGCTGCTGGTGAGATGGTAAATTGGTGAAACCTGTCAGGAGAGCATTTTGGAACCATCCACTGGCATTTTAAAAAGCGTACAGCCCTTAAGCCAGCAATACCACTGCGAGGAATTCATCCTATGACTAGATTTCCCCAAACAGTTCAAGATGTGCAAATATGGCTGTTCACCGTGGGATTATTTATAAAAAACAAACAACACACAAAAACCCTACCAGACAACAACAATGCAGAAGCCAAACGACTGCTGCTGAGGTGGGGGGCCCGCGAGCCGGTCCCCAGCACCCCATCACTCACCCGTTCAAGTCAAAGGCTCGGATGAGGATGTGCTGTAAGACATCGAGGGAGGTGATCTGGGGGTCCACAGCAAAAGAGCGGAACTCAGGTGGCAAGCAGCTCTCACATTTCTGGGGAGAGAAGACATGGGGTAGGCCATCAGGGGCCACCTCGCCACGCTAAAGTGGAGTGTGCGTAGGAGGCAAGGCCAGAGAAGTGGCGGGGGCCAGGCCAAGGCAGGCATTCTGGGCCATGGTGAGGACTCTGGTGAAGAGGGAGCTTTGGGAGGGTTCTGAGCAGAGCAGGGATGTGGTCGGACTTAGGACTTAACAGGATCCTTCTGGCTGCTCCGCAAAGAACAGACTGGGGGAGGGGGCAAGGGAGCAAGCAGCAGTCCAGCCAGGAGGAGGCTCCTGCAATAGTCCTGGCATCCAATCCTTCTAGATCTCCTCAACAATGCTTTGCAGGATCACCATGTCCAGTCTGGCCCCTACTAAGTCAGTCCTCCAGGCTGCAACCAATCTAGCACATCTATCTACAACACTCCCTTGCTTAATCTCTTCAAAGGCAGCCCCAGAGTCCCCAGCAGGTGGGCCTATGGGACCCCTCTCTCCAGCCAGCCTCCCGCCAGTGAGCTTTTTCAAACATTACACTCTGATCCTACCAAATTGCTGGAAGTTACTTTGAACACATCCTGGCTCCAAGCCTTTGCTTGTGGTGATCCCCCTGTCTGGAAAGTCCTTCCCACTTTCTTCAACTGGCTCACCACAGCTCAGACATCGTCTATTTTCTGCACTCCCAAACCTCTACCTTAGAGCTTCCTCTACTACACTGAGGCGATGTTTACGTCTCCAGAATCTACCCTCTTATCACTACCAATACCACCGCCCTAGTCCAAGCCGCCCCAGTCACTGCTTGCTGGAACCACTGCAACAGCTTTCTTACTCAGAGTACACACCAAAGGCCCTCCCAGTCCGCCCCTCTCTTACCTCTCTTTCACCTCCTACCACTCTTCCCCTCACTCTCTCGCTTCCAGCAACGTGGGAACTTAAGGGAACATGCCAAGCTCATCCCCACCTCCCAGCCTTTGCTCTTGCTGTTCCCTCTGCCTAGAACACTCTTCCCTGCTGACATGCGTATGGCTGACTCCTTTTTATTCGGGTCTCTTCTCCTTCAATACCTCTCTGGGGAGTTCCCTACACAACCTTGGCTAAAGTAACTCCCTAGTTCACAATCTTTTTCGTTATTTCCTCATGACATTCACCAGTGTCCGAAGCATCTCATTGATTTAGCTGTGTGTCTCCCCGACGAGCAGGTCAGCTCCTTCAGGGTGCACTCTCAACACATACGTGAACTGACTTCAGCGCCTCCTTTTCAGACAGCAGTAGCCCCCCTCATTCCTCAGGGCCCCACTTCCCAACGATTAAAGCCCCTCCTTCAACCCTACAGCTCCTCCTCTCGGCCCATAATCTCCACCTATCCATTCCATAGGTCCCTATCCTCCATTTTCAGTCCCCACGCCTTCACGCCCTGTCCCTGCATTCCCGGTCCAGCCCCCCCGCCGCCTCCCGCCCGCCACCATCACTCTGCCCTCAAGCCTCGCCCCTCAGGTAACACCCCAAATATCAGGTCCCGCCCTCCATCCTAGGGCAGCCACCTTGCCCTCCCCTGGGAGCTCCGGGCCGCCAGCCTCACCTTGACTCGGACCCGTACCACCTCTCGCTCCTCCTCCTCAGCTGCCGCCGCCGCCGCCTGGGCTCCCCCGCCAGGCGGGGGCGCTCCGGAGCCGACCAAGTCCGAGGACCCAGAGGCCATCGCCATCCCGCCACCCGTCTCAGGGTGACAGTGGACCCTTGCCCCCTACCCCTGCGAGAACCCCAGAGTGCGGGCGCCGGCGGCCCCACCTTGCGCCCGAGCGCAGGCGCAGAAGGCGCCACGCGACCCTACCCACTCCCCCCCCCCCGCCCCTCCCACCTGGCACGGGGTGGAGGTCGCCTATGCGCATGCGCATATGGTGCCGTTGCCTGGAGCCCCGTCCCCCAAGGCCGGGCCGTTGGCCTCACTTCAGCCAATGCGCAGGCGCCTGCTGAGGCTCCGCCTCCCCCCGTCCGCGATTCGGTTGTTTAGGCAGTTTACTTCCGGATTCACCTAGGTGTGTGTTAAAGTGACGACCCATTCGAGCGAAAGAAGTAGGCGGGGAAAGGAAGCTGCTGCGGGATGACGTCAAGCCCCCCCCCCCCCGCCCCGCCCAAAGTCACCTCGCATCTTTCCTTACAGATGACGTCATCTATTTCAAATGCCTATGGCCCTCGCTTTGGATGAATGCACTGGACGGAAAAATAATCCTTTTTCCAGAATCTTTTAAAAAATAATTTACACGTTGTGAAAATGCATGCAGCTGTACGTGTATGTTTTTTGCAGTTTCTGCGTGCTATACTTCAATAAATAATTTACCAAAAAAAGCCATTTTTATGCTCCCTGGAGGTCAAAGCTTTTTAAAGTTTGCCTTCATTTTATCTAAACCTTACAACACGTTGAGGTCGGTCTTGTTATTAAACAGTGTGTCCACTAAATGTCAGCTGAATGATTGAACACCTCTTAGACTCCTCTGAGAAACTTACACTGCAAAATGCAAAAAGGCATTTTCCTCGCTTTATTGCACAGCATCCATATGGTTTGGACAAAATAGATTGCCCTCACAATGTAATTTCTAACAAAGGAGTCCTGTAAGATGCCTGGACTTCAGCTATTGTTGCAGGGTTGTATGGGTGCTACCTGTAATGTTGACTTTTTAGAGAAGTTTGCAATTATATTTTAGTATCTTTTTAAATAACTTGTTGCCTTGGTATTAATATTAAATAAACACCTATTTTCTGGAAGGTATAAGTAATTGGGAATTTTTCTTGAAAGCCAGAAGAGGGTTATTAGCACATGTCTCTTGTCCCATGTGCTGGAGTCAACACTTTTTATGGCACTGCTGGATTTCCTGATGGAAACAAGTAGTTTGAGAATCTGCTTCTCATTAAAATTATCATAGGATGGGGTGAGCAAAACATTAGCCTGGAGCTTGGGGTTTATGCTGAGGGCACTGGAGCACAGGATTTAGATGGGGGTATGATGTGGTCAGACGCTTCTGTCTTGGTTGTGGAGAAAGCCTTGGATAGAAAGATCCCGGAAGCAAGATCAAAAAGAAGGTCCTTGCTATAATCCTGGGGAGAACTTTCTCTTTCATTTGGTTATTCTTCCATTCAACAAATACGAAGTGTAGGCCAGATTACCTACATATATTAATTCATTTAATCTGCATAAAAACTCTATGAGGTAGGTACTATTACTATTAGCATTTTACAGATGAGAGTACTCAAAGTCAGGGAGAAACATGCTCAAGGTCAAAGGGATAGTGACAGAAAGAGTAGACAGTGCAATGGACAGAAAGTGGGGCTGTGCCGGGCATGTGTGAGGAAGAGCAAGGAGGCAGCATGCCTTAAGTAAGTGATGAGGTAAGTGGTGGATCTGAGGTGAGAAAGTGATGAATGGTTTTGGCCTTAACAGTGAGGCATTTCTCAAAAGCTGTACTGTAGGCTCGAGCAGAACCAGGATTTGAACTGAAGTCCTGCCCTGCACAGGTCACTTAGAGCCAGCCTACAGGTATCTGCAGTTTTGTTTTTGTTTTTGTTTTTTCAAGATTAGCCTTGAGCTAACATCTGCTGCTAATCCTCCTCTTTTGGCCAAGGAAGACTGGCCCCGAGCCAACATCCATGGCCATCCTCCTCCACCCCATATGTGGGATGCCCGCCACAGCATGGCTCCATGTGCAGTGCCATGTCCGCACCTGGGATCCGAACCGGCAAACCCCGGGCCGAAGCGGAACATGTGCACTTAACCGCTGCGCCACCGGGCCGGCCCCTGCAGTTTTATTATTCATTCTTTGTCATCTCTCCAAAATTCCTCAAATACCCATTTGTTTTATGACTGATGGTCTACGAGGTGAATGACAGAGACTGTGGGATGAGTGGGGGAGGGGTCTATAGGATGGGGGTATCTGTGGGGTGAATCATGGGACTCTGTGGGTCCATGATAGGTGGTCTGTGGGGGTAATTGGGGATCTGTGGGGTGAGTCATAGGGGAATATGAAGTAAGGGATGGATTCTGCAACTTGAGTTATGGGGAGTTTACAGGGTGAGTGATGAGAGGCCTATGAGGTAAATGATAGGGGGTGTGTGGGAAGAGTGACAGGGTCTGTGTGATACATGATGGGGGGGTTTATGGGGTGACTCATGCGGTTGTAGGGTACATGATGGGAGGTCTGCTGGGGCAATGATGGGGTCTGTGGTGTGAGTGATGGACGTCTATGAGTGAACGAAAGGCTGTTGTGGGGACAGTGATGGGTGTTTTAGGGGATAATGATGGGATCTGTGGGGTGAGTTTTGTTTGGTCTGTGGGGTGAGTGATGGGGGTCTTTAGGCTAGTGATGGGTAAGTCTGTGAGGTGCCTGATCAGGAGAGAAGAGGCTGAGTAAACTGAAGAACTTGAAGATTTGGAAAATTCTCACTCAGCCTGTCCATATTGCAAAAAATGAGAAAGTGTGTTCTGGAGAGAACGCCAAGGGTATAGTTGGACGATCACTCCTTAAAAGAGATTATGGGTGTCTCATGGATCTAACCAGCCATCACAGGAATCTGTGGGGTCAGTGAGGTCATAGATTAGAGGTCTAAGTGATGATGATGGGGGTCTGTGGAATGAATGAGTGATGGAGAGGTCTGTAGGGTCAGTCATGGGGCATCTCTGGGGTTAGTAATTAAAGATCTCTCAGTGTTAGGGTCAAGATCTTTTATTTCCTGATTTTAAACCTCCTGTGTTCTCTTGTACCTTTGTTCCAACAGCTCCTGGCAGTAGCTCCATACAGCTCCTTTCTTCCTCCTGTCTCTGTCCCTTTTGGTGCCCACCCAATCAGCTTGAGTTTGACAGATCAATTCACTTTGTCCCTCCAACCCGTGAGAGCAAGGATTGGACTCTTCTGGCAGGTAGAGAGTTGCTCACGAGCCAGCGTTGAAGCCCAGTCCATCACTCATTAGTTCTGTTTGCTCTTGGCTTTTGTGGCTTTGGTGTCCAGTGTGCTCTGGGCAAGAGAGAGCTGCTTCATGGAGTCAAGCACAAGGATTCCAGGCAGCACCAGCCACAGGCTGTTCATGAAAACAAAGTAAAACCAGAAATAGAGCGGGTGGCCCAGCTCTCCATGCTGGAATCCGTCACGTTGCTCTGTCAGGAAATAGAGCACATCCCCGTAGATTTGACCTGTGGGAGGGAGAAGGGGAAGGGGGAACCCTGTGAGGAGGAAGAACCATTCCAGGGCATTTTCCAAGTCATCATTCAAGGTCTCAGAGCTCAAGCCTCCCAAATTCAGGGAGCTAAGAATTCTGAAATCACACAGCTGAAAATTTGAGGAATCAGAAGCTGAGAATTTCTGAACTCAGGAGAGTTCTTATCTCTGGAATTTAAGGAAGCTCAATACCCTTTAAGACAGCTCAGGACTCCAGGACTAAAGAGAACTCACATTTACGGAACTAAAGAAAGCTAACAATGTAAGAACACAAGAGGACTGAATCTCAGACGAAGGGAGCTCAGAATCCTGACCCTGGAGGATCCAGGGGCTGCCCGCCATCACAGGCCACCTCATCTAACCTTCACAGGAGACTTTGTGATGCAGGAGGAGGAGAAATGGACTCTCTCTGCTTGAGAATGCAGGCCAAAAGGGGCATGGCTGTTCCAGCACCTCAGAGTTTGTCATTCAGTCTGACTCGGCCCTGGATGGGCACAACTGAGAGATCCCACCTGCAGGTATGCCCCTATGTCTGTGAACCCCCATCAACCCCTCCAGCACCCAGTGTGGGCCCTCTCCTCACCCACAGAGACCACGAGCTGTAGGACAAAGCGGAGGGGCTGCTGGCGGAGAAAGGCAATTACCACCCATAGGCTGAGGGGTCCCCAAAGGCAAGCTGTGATGGTCTCCATGCATACCGTGAAGTTGTCATTCCTGTGGGGAGAAAGGATGGAGAGACATTGGCATCACTGTGCTCTACCCTCAGGGCACCCCATTAGTGCTCCCTGACTAACAACCACCCCAAACCAATGCAGGTTTCCCTTGACAGAGGCCAAGACTTACAGGATGTATCGGCTGTCCCCCTTGGCATACTCTTTCCCTGAAGAAGACAAAAGACATACATGAAGAATAAAGGCAGGAAAAGGAACTCAGACTTGTGAGAGCTCAGGGCCCCTGTAAGACAGCAGGCTTTATAACCGTTCTATGCCTCAGTTTCCTCATCTGAAATGGGGTAATTGTTTGGACCCTAGAGTTAACATGTGTATACAAGATAATGTATGCAAGTCTGACACAGAACAGTAAGTGTGGCTGTGATTGTCTGGTATTCAATAAATGTGGAAAAAAGGAGGCAGGTGTAGATGACGGAGTGAGTGAAGAAGCCAATAAGTGAGAGAGAGAGCACACGGGTGAACAGATAAGAGAATGAAAGAGTGAGGAGAGACTCAATAAGAAAAAGATCACCCAATACAAAAATAGGCAGGAGACTGAAATAGGTTCTTCACAAAAGAGGATTTCCAAATGGTCAATAAACACATGCGAGGTGCTCAAACTTTCATTAGTCATTAAGGAAAAGCAAATTAAGACCGTAATGAGATATCACTCGGATCCACTAGGACTAAAATTTAAGAAACACCTGACCATACTAAGTGTCATTGAGGATGTGGAGAAACTAGACGTTTCATATACTGCTGGTGGGAATATAAAATGGTGCAGCCATTTTTGAAAACAGTTTGGCAGTTTTTCAAAGTTATATGCACATCTACCATCCGACCCAGCCATTCCACTCCTCCATATTTATCCAAGTGAAATGAAAGATCTCTACACACAAAGACTTCTATAAGAATGTTCATAGCAGCTTTATCATGAAGCCAAAAAGATGTATTGTTTATAAGAGCAAAAAATTGGGGGGAAATGCCCATCAATACTGGACAAGTCAAATAATTCTGTCACATCTATGCTTTGAAAGCTCTTTATGAATTAATAAGGAGTTACGTCATTAAAAAAAGCAAAGGTCAGGGGCTGGCCCCATGGTGTAGAGGTTAAATTCAGTGCGCTCTGCTTCAGTGGCCTGGGTTCATGGGTTTGGATCCCAGGCGTGGACCTACACCACTCATCAGCCACACTGAGGTGTGACCCACATATAAAAAGTGGTGGAAGATTGACACAGATGTTAGCTCAGGGCTAATCTTCCTCAAGCAAAAAAAGAGGAGGACTGGGGGGCCCGGCCCCAGGGCCAAGTGGTTAAGTTCATGCGCTCCACTTTGGCGGCCCAGGGTTTCACTGGTTTGGATCCTGGAGGCAGACCTAGCACTGCTCATCAAGCCATGCTGAGGTGGCGACCCACACAGTTCAACTAGAAGGACCCACAACTAGAATATACAACTATGTACTGGGGGGCTTTCGGGCGAAGAGGCAAAAAGTTAAAAAAGATTGACAACAGATGTTAGCTCAGGGCAAATCTTTAAAAAAATTTATAAAAGAGGAGGATGGCAACAGATGTTAGCTCAAGGATAATCTTCCTCAGCAAAAAAAAAGCAAAGTTCAAAAGTGTATATAGCATGTTACTATTTATTTACACAAAAGGGAAAAATTAAAACAATAATGATGATAATAATAATAATAAAGTTATATGGCATCCACTGTCTGCCAAATACTGTTGTAAGTGTCCTACATATATTTGGGTATTACTATTATCCCTCTTTTACAATTGAGCAAATTGAGGCTTGTGTAATCTATATATAAATAAACCCTGGAAGGAAACAAGCAATTATTAACAGTGGTTAATAGTTGGGGAAACTTGGTGGATAGAAGGTAGATTTTCAATGCATACCTCTCCAAATGGTTTGTTTTTTGACCCATGTGAATATACATGCAACAATAAAGTTGAATATACAAATACATACTGGGGGGCTTTGGGGAGAAGAAGAAGAAGAAAAAAAAAAAGATTGGCAACAGATGTTAGCTCAGGGCCAATCTTGAAAATTAATTAACTAGGGGCCAGCCCAGTGGTGCAGCAGTTAAGTGTGCACGTTCTGCTTTTTGGCAGCCCGGGGTTCGCTGGTTTGGATCCCGGGTGTGGACATGGCACTGCTTAGCAAGCCATGCTGTGGTAGCGTCCCACATATGAAGTAGAGGAAGATGGGCGCGGATGTTAGCTCAGGGCCAGCCTTCCTTAGCAAAAAGAGGAGGATTGGCAGCAGTTAGCTCAGGGCTAATCTTCCCCCCAAAAAAGAAAATTAATTAATTAATTAGTTAATTAATTAATGGAAGAAGAGTTGGTGGGTGGGTAAACATCTAAACCAATCCCTGCCCAGAAATTTCCCTCCCACAGCACCTCAAAGAACTCAGGACTCACAGAGTTGGGACAAGAAGGCTTGGTCTCCAAGAAGGTCCTCGTGGTAGAGGCTGAACCAGCCCTCAATCACCAGGTGAATGAACCCACAGACTGCAAACCAGCACAGGGACAGTCGCCGCCAAATCCCCAGTGGGACGACTGCAGCACGACCTGACAACAGCCACGTGGTGACAACTAAGACCCCAGAGACAGAGAAGAGGCCGGCCAGGAGATGCCAGGCGGGGCAGTCATTAGGCACAAACTTGTCCAGCCTTAGGTGCCGAGGCCAGTATGGGTGCAAGGGGCTGGCGCTGGTGGTCATGTCGTTGTAAGCTGACGGCTGTGTGTGGATGGTAGAAAGCAGAAAAAAGGAAGAGAAACCTGAACAAACAGTAAACACATGAGATCATAAAATCAAACCCAAGTAGTTTACCATCACAAGAAATGTAAATAGACTAAATTATTCAGCTAATAGACAGACTGTAAGACTGGATTAAAAATAATCTAATTATATGCTGTTTAAAAAACATAACTATAAGCCCACAGAAAGACTGAAAGCTTGTTCCAGCCCTTCGTATGATATGGTAGACACGGGAACCAGACCAGGTCCCAGCCTTCAGGTGTCAGTCTGCTGGGGAAGACACAGGATCCAAGTCTGGTTCCCGTCCTCATTGGTCACAGTCTGGTAGGCAGACACAAGAACCAGACTAGGTTAGTCCCAGCCCTGATTAGTCACGCTCTGGTGGGGGACACAGCAACTAGGTTGGGTCCCATTGCAGGGGTCAGTGTCTTGCATCGTTCAACGGAAAGCTATTCCCTCCCCGTAGTCACGGTAACTGCAGGACAGACGCGAGAAGGCTAACCAGAACTACGACCCTCAGGTTCAGTGTGTGAAAACCAGACACTTCCCCCAACAGCGCACGACGCAGCCAACCTGCAAATGAGAGAAAAGTGGAAGACAGAGGTCTGGCGCGCGGCGCTAAAAAGAAAAAGGAGGGTCAAATGCAGAGACCACCAATCAGAACTAGAACCCTCTAGTCCAGCTGCCCAACGAGAAGGCGGATCTCCCGTCGTGCGGACTACCGCGCAGAAACTGGCGGGGGGCGGCGGGGGGGACGCTCTCGCGCAAGCGCGTGGGAGGGCGGGAGGGGCAAGGGTCTCGCCTAGGCGCGCCGAGGAGGGCCGGCCGTTTAGCAGTTGGGAGCTAGGGGATGGAGTGGCGCGGCGGGTGGAGGGCACTTACCCAGCGGCGGGGTCGCAATGGTCTCTCCGGGCTCCTGGCTGTCTCTAGCCTAGCTCGCGGGCTCCGTAACAGCCCTAGTTCTTACCCAACCTCTGGTCAGGTTCCTCGTCTTACCGGGCTGACCAATGGAGGGGCTGGGAAGGCGGCCCGTGCCGCTTCCAACCAATAGGAGCTCTCTATGTGCCCCCGGCCCCGCCCTCACGCGTGGTGCCATTTTCGCTGTTGGCTGAGCCCGAGTCAGGAGTTGGGTGGGCGTTTGCAGCCGAGGCCAATCTGCAGCGAGTGTTGGAATCAATTACCTACCTTATCAGTCAATCACATCGGAAATCAAGTGTTCGTCCTCCTCGTCTGCTGTTGAACCAGCGTTGCGTTGCTTCCTCTCACCTTTGCCCTCATTTTCTAGGCAGAGCAACCAATTAGTTCCCGGACCAACCTTCAATCCTAATGTCCAAATGGGCAAGGAAACTGTTAATACGACAGGCAGATCACATCCTGTACATCGTGCCTCCGCCCTCTCCCTCAGAGCTCAGAACTCCTCAGCGGTCATCCTTGTGCCAACTCTAAAGAGCCATTCAGAGCTCCCTAACTCTAAGCCAGCGGGCAGCCAGAGGGCGCCATCAATCAGAATCCAGAAGCATCCCAGATCTCCCATCCAATGAGAACGCACAACTCTCAGTCCTAGGGATCAATAAGCAGCAACTCTTCATCTCTCTTGCTTTCCCTCCTCTCTGTCCCAGTCAGAGCAACCAATCGGAATGGGACTCCTTCAGTTTTCCAGCCAATTAGTATCAGGCTTCCCGCACATCCCACTATCCAATCTGTCCTGGCCTCACTCAAATCAAGCAGTGCCATCCTCAGGCTTATCATCCACTCATGAACAGTAGTAAATTAATCTGGAACCAATCACAACCTGCTCCCTTTTCATGGTTTCCAGCTTCCAAGCTATATCTATGCTGTGCCCCCTTCCTCACTCACACCTATTCCCCACTGAGCAGTGAAGAAAGAGCCTTTTGTATATTTCCTACTTTTATTTGACAATAACAAACTGTATATAAAAAGGGAGAAGGAAGGTGGGGAGACCCCGGATCTCCCCCTCTCTGCTTCCCCAAGCATCCCCCACCCCTATGCCCCAGCAGGGACCACCCCCTTCCCGCCTTGTGGTGGGGTGGGGATCAACAGGCATGGAAATGGTGTATGTGTGTTTGTGTGTGTGTATGTGTAGGCGTGTTGGGGGGGCAAGGATGGAGAGGGGTCAAGAATTAGAGAGAGGGCCTTCCCTCATCCCCCATCAGAGCTGGCACTCTGAGGAGGGGTCTTGAGGGAGCTGTGAGGGTCCACAGATGTGCCTCAGCCTATGAGACGGTAGAAGATCCAGCATCCAAAAGTGACCCAGTGACTGGCCCAGCTGAGCTCTGACCACTTGTGGACAGTGTATGCCATGCCGTAGCCCTGTGGGAGAGAAAGAGGTGATGGTTCCACTCAGCAAGAACAAAGAAGGTCTCAAGAAAACCCATCCTTTGCTTAAGGACATTTCTGTGACTCCACGGTCACCCTAGGTGAGGCTCGAGAGAGGAGACTGGGTACATATGAAAGGTAAGCAGATTTAATTTTTTCCTTTTGTGTTTTCTTCTTCTTTAAAAATCATTTTAAAAACAAGACAAGGCAATTCCATTCTCTGACCTGCACTCTCCCTTATATATAAAGAGCTCCTAGAAATCAATTTTTTGAAAAGACAAAAATTAGCAAAGGAGGTGAGTAGCCCATTCTCAGTAAAGGAAAAAAACAAATGGCTCTTAAACATATGAAAAGATACTCAGCCTCACTCATAATCTTCCTCCTCTCAAACTGGCAAACATATCCAGGAAGTGTGAGAGGCACTCTGTTGGTGGGGCCACAGGCACATTCACACACTGTTGGTGGGAGGGCAAAAAGGTAACTCCTCCATTGCGACCATCAAGAACAGATCCTACAATTCTGTCTGCACCTGTGTGAATCCACATGGGTACAAGGGTGTTACTTGCTGGAGCATCATTTGCAAAAGGAAAGGACTGGAAATCACCTGGGTGTCCACCGATAAGCAACAAACTACACTGTGTCATGTCTTCACAATGGAAAAAATGAATGAGGACACTCTATGTACTAAAGCAGAAGATTTTCAAGTATTATTATGTGAAAAAAGCAATATGCAGAACAGTGTCATTCATGTCTTACCTTTAGAGTAAAAGCCAGCAAGAGGGAATTAAAATACATTTTTATATTTGTTTATTATGCTTCAATTTTAGAAGGATATTTTAATAAAATGAATAAAAGTAGTCACCTGTAAGAGGACAGGGGGTAGACGGTAGGAGCAAGACTTTCCCCTGAATATCTTGAATACTGTTTGGTTTTTGAACCATGTGATAGCATTAACTATTAAAAAAATTTTTTTTTCCTGCTCTTTCTCCCCGAATCCCCCCAGTACATAGTTGTATATTTGAGTTGTGGATCCTTCTAGTTGTGGCATGTGGGACACCACCTCAACGTGGCCTAACAAGCCGTGCCATGTCCACGCCTGGGATCCGAACTGACGAAACCCTGGGCCACCGAAGCAGAACGCCTGAACTTAACCACTTGGCCATGGGGCTGGCCCCCTATAAATGTTTTAATAAAATAAAACAAAAACTTTAAAAAGAAGCCAAACCCAGATTTTGCACACTGAACCTGAATAAAAATTAAAAACTGTTTTTGATGACAAAAATAATAGTTTTATTTTCAATTAAAAATAAAAAATTTAACTAAAAGAGAAGCAAAACCTGGATCCTATAAGAACCACATGAATAAACATTAGTTTTTAAATTGTTTTCCATTTAAAAAGGAGTAAAATCTGGAATGTGCATACTCCACATGAATAAAAATAGTATATACATTTTAATAGACATTTTTAAAGTAGAATCGAGTTTGCACACTCGATCTGAGCCAAAATATTTTTTTAAAAATTAAATAAGAAACCTTAAAAATTCCATCTAAACAAAAATATGAATAATTTTTAAAAAAGTAAAACCTGGGTTTTGTACTACATCTCTATAAGACAAATTTTATAAGTAAAATAAACATATTTTGCACACTTCACCCAAATAAAAGACCCCACGGTGTGAATCAACCAGAGGGACAATGGGGAAGAAGGACCGAGGAGCACTGGCTACAGGAGCTACAGATACATGACACGAGGTCCTCATCCCTCAGCCTCCCCACCTTTGTCCTCGCGAGGACACCCCTGGAGCTCCCACAGGAGCTCCAGGCTCCTATGAACAGGCAGCAAATCCCTGGGGAACCCCCAGCCCAGGGCCCCACTCACCTGCTCCTCTGTGGTATCATCCACATCGACATCAAACAGGGAGCCCAGGTAGGCCAGGTGGAAGATGGCCAGGGCCCCAAAGAGCAGATTTAAGGCTCGCACCCCCAGGCCCTGTGGAGGACAGGTGGATATGGTTGGCAGCTGGACCTACTCACTGTCCCGAGCCCCACCTGGTCAGGGGAGCCCAGGGAGACGCACAGGCTGCAGTGGGTCCCAGAAATGAGGATGTCTAGGGTACCCCCTGGACTAGGAAAGAGATGATTCAGATCTTCCGGTGGGGGCTCAAGGGGTATCCAGGGATGAGGGTACTGTTAGCATGAGGGCATCCAGGTTGAGGAAGATGTGAGTGTTCAGGCAGAGGAGGAAAAATGGTGGGGCTTTGAGTTTGGGGGTTTATGGTGATAAACATTGGTTGTCAGGTGGGAGACAAATTTGAGATTGTCCACACTTCTTATTGCAAACAGAATGAAAAAAAAAAACCAAACAAAAGCAAATCCCCACCATGACCTACTGGGCCCACCACTCTCCCCCGACTCTCCCCCTCGCTCACTCTGCTCAAGCCACACTGGCCTCCACACTGTTCCTCAGATTCCAGGCCCTCTCCCGTCTCAAGGCCTTTACGCCCACTGTTCCCGCTGTCTGGAATGCTTCCCTCTGTCACCTCCTTCAGTAAGGAACTCAGAAGTCCCCTCCCTCTTTAAAATTGAAACCATTCACCCCCTGATACTTCCCTGACCCTTTCCCTTATGTATTTTTTTCCTTGGCACTAATCCCAATCTAACAAATGATTATATTTTACTGATTTATTATTTACTGTCTTCCCTGTTAAAACGTTTGTCCCAGAGGGCTGGGACTTTGGTCTGTTTTGTTCACCGCTGTGTCTCCAGCCCCTAGAACCATGCCTGGTACCAGCAGGTGCTCAATAAATGTTAATTGGGGGGAAATAAATGCCAGGTGTGTATACAGGAAGTGCTTGATAAATGTGTTAGAGAAATGAATGCCAGTGAATAGAGGTGAGGTTATGGGGATGGCTCAGGCACCAGAAGAGTAAGCTGGGCACCCTGAGACAGATATAAGATGGAGACAGAAGTAATATTTTTGAGGAGGAGTGCTGGGCACGAGGTTGCCCAGGCTGAACCCTCACCAAGCGATGCTGGTGTGAACAGTCTGGTGGGCACCGTTTGGACAAGACGCAGGCACTGAGGATCCGAGCCAGGCGCTTCCGGAGGACTGGGACAGATGGGGGAGGTGAGGGGTCAGGTTAGGCTTGGGGGATGGTGGTTGCAGTCCCCCACCAACCTTCCATCCCATCTGCTGGGCTGGGCTCTGCACTCACCGTGCTCCACGTAAGTGATAAAGGCCAGGGACAGCAGCACCGCAGCCAGATGGAAGCTGAAGCCCTGGGGGAACCAGGTGGGTTGGGGGGATGAGGTACGTGAGGAGGAGGCTCTGCCGCCCCGCCCAGCTTACCCCCTAATCCCCCTCTACCCTGCTCACGTGCAGGAGGGCGCTAGCTGCATAGGTGACCAGCACGGCTGAGAAGGTCCCCAGGCGGAGAGCATTCTTGAAAACATCTGGAGGGGCGAGATGCAGGCCAAGAGTCTCCTGAGATCCCCCCTGCCCTTCCTGGGTGCCATAGGGCAGGGTGAGGCGACCCGCAACCTGTTGGAGCCCCCAGGATAAAGTCTTTCTAATGGCCTCAAACTTCACATGTCCGAAACCTGATCTTCCCTCCCAACCTGCTCCTCCCAGAGTCTCCCCAAGTTCAGCCAATGTCAACTCCACCCTTCCAGCTCCTCGGGGCAAAAACTCAGAAGCACCCTTGACCTGTCCTCTCTCCACTCCCACAACCAAACTCTCAGCGAATCCTGTCAGTTCCACCTTCAGAATTTATCCGGAATCTGACTTCTCCTGTCCATGTCCACTGCCGCCACTGCCATCACAGGCCTGGACCACTGCAGTGGCCTCCTCACTGCTTCTGCCCTCGCCCCATCCCTGTCTGTCCTCACAGCAGCCAGAGAGTCCTGTTATAACCCAAGTCAGCCCATGGCCCTCCTCTGCTCAGACCTCTGCCATGGCTCCCTCCTCATGGTCAGCAATGCCCTCCAGGACCAGGATGTCCCCTTTTTGACCTCACTTCCTGCCACTGGCCCCCTCATTTTGCTCCTGCCACACTGGTCTCTTCCACACTGGTTCCTCAGATGTGCTAGGTATGCTTCTACCTCAGGGCCTTTGCACTGGCTGTTCCCTCCATCTGTTGCACTCCTCCCCCACATATTTGATGTCACCTCCTCAGTCGGACTTGCTGTGGCTAACTTATTTAAAATTGCAACCCCCCTGCCCATACTCCTGCTAACACTCCCAGATCTTTACCTGCTTTGTTTTTTTTACCATAGCACTTATTACCACCTGAACTATTGTGTATTTTTTTTCTTTTATTATCTGCTCCCCCCATAAAAATGCCAGATCCACAAGGGCCTAGCACACAGTAGGTGCTCAGTAAATGTTTGTTGTATGAATGTGTGAAAGGGCCTGAGCTGAGGACTCCCAACTCTCTTAGAGTGGCGTCTTGGTGACTCACAGTTATTTAGCCAATAAGACATGGGCAGGTTCCAGCTCGTGACAACTTCGACCATGGACCGGGGCAGTTCCACGTTCAGTGGCTTGGACACTGTCAGGTCCCTATGGGAAAAAGAGACACACAAATTCATTTGGGAGCTCAACCCATCTGACTGCCACACTTTTGTCTTGGCTGTTCCTTTTCCCGGGAACCCCCCCCCCCTCCCTGCAGCTCCTCTAGGCAGCACCCTGTGGGAGAGGGGCCCCCCGGCCCTCCCCACCATTCCAGGTGATCCTTCTCCTCGGTGAAGCCAGCCCCCGCCAACGTGGCCGTGGCCTCGGACAGAAAGCCCACAAAATAGTTGCTGAAGTGGAAGGAGACAGCACTCTCGTAGGCTCGCAGCCACCTGGGGAGAAATGAGCAGGGCAGAGAGGCATGATGCCCAGGCCCCGGCATGACACCCCCCCCCCTTATGTCAGCATCCCCAGCCCCACTCTGTAGACTCACCTTACCATGGTGCCCCTAGGGCCCCCAGGGGTCAGGAAGGCAGCAGAGAAGAAAGGAAAGAGAGTCAGAGAGGCCCTGGAGGCTGGCCTGAGTTACTCGTAGACAAGACAGACAGAACCGTGGTGGCAAAAGAGGTGCGCTGTGACAGTCATACGCATACAACACTGTCAGTTAGGTTCATTTGGCTCAAACAGACCCAGGAGCTGCCCCGGAACATGACACAGTCCCACAGCCTCCCCTGGCCAGACATCCAGCCCCAGCCACCGTCACAGGCCTGACCTCACTGCCCCACCCCCTGACACAGCCACGTGGCCAGAGGCAGACACTATCGGACCCCCAGCCTCGCAGCTCTCTAACCTGACTCGGTGACCATAAGACACACAAAAGTCCTTTAGTTAGGCACAGAGACCATCAAGCACCCGCTATGCACACACACATGATTCTGCACTCAGGATAACCACCCTGTCAGTCATACAGTCAGACACAGTCAAAAACAGGCAGCGTCCTGCACTGGAAAAAGCGGAGGTTCTGGAACCAGGCCTAGGATTAATGCCTGGCTGCTTAGCTGGGTGACACTGGGCAAGTCACTCCACCTTTCAGAGCCTCATTCAGCATCAGACACAGTCAGCGGCCAGTGAGTGGGGGAGGGAGTCATACAATCAAACAGCCGGATGGAATCCTACAGTCACACCAAAGGCAGATGGTTGGTCCTGCAGACAGGTACAGGCACACAGTTGGTCACGACTCCACCAAGCAGCCACGGAAGGCAGACCCACAGGCAGAATCCAGCACAGATAGGCACACAACACGCGACAGCCAGACCCATTCCCAGCCAGAGTTGCAGATAAGCCAGACATGCAATGACAGCTACGCACCCCATCCTTGACAATGGCACAGCCAGCCAGCCAGCCAGAACTCCAGTCCCACACAGGGAGTCAGTGGCTGATAGCCAAACAACCCATACACACCCCTAACCAGAGTCACAGACAGATCAGCGTCACCAGCCAACACATACTTGTCACTCCCCATTGCAGCTAAGTAACTTGTTTCTAATGGTGAAACAGCAGAACAGATGGATAGCCAGACATGGTATGTGTCAGAGTGTCAGTCATATATGGAGTCACAGAGCCAATCTTGGTCCAAGAACAGCCACAGACAGACACTCAGTCTCTGTCTAGTCACAGGGTAGATGGTCAGACAGTCTCAGACTTCCAGAACCCACGGTCACAGACTGTGCCCCCACCCTCCATCAGCCCCACTCGCCCTCAGCACCTGCCCTCATTTACCTGGCTTTGCGTTTCTTGCTGTAGTAACAGAAGATAGACAGAAGCATTAAGAGACAGGCTCAGAGCTAGGGAGACCCCAGGTCCCTACCCAACGCCCTCACTGCAGGGCAGAGGCCTCAAAGGCTGTGCTCACTTGCGAAGGAGGCGGTCACCATCGAGGGGGATGAAGTATGGGAAGAGGTAGGGGCCCACACAGGTGGACAGCACAAGGCACAGCAGGGCCAGCGCCAGGCTCCGGGCCACCTTCTGCAGCCACTGGCGGCTCTGTGGGGATCAAGGCTCCATGAACACTGCCCCGTGGTGGCTCCCATAGTCCCTGCCCACCTGTCCACCCAGGACCTCACCAGCGGGCGGCCTTGGACAGCCTGTAGGTAGCTGTGGAAGGATATCCAGGGCCCAAAGACGATGGTGCCCACAAAGTAGAGGTAGCCCATGAACTCCACGGGTGAGGGCACCGCACCGACCTCGCCTCGGTCCAGGTCGAAGCCCAAAGACACCGCCTTCATGGCCACGATCATCTGGGCCCCTGTGTGTGGCACCCACAGTCAAGTGGACAGGTATAGTACGGGTCAGCATGGGGAATGGGAGCACCAGGTGAGAGGTGGTAGGAAAAGAGGAGGACAAGGGTGAACAGGTTGGCATGGGATCAGACAAGCAGGTAAGCAAGTAGGCCCAGGACTGGCAGATGCTCTGACTCAAGAGAGTCAGGCACATGCATGAGATGGGACAGACAGATGGGGCCGGGGGGCAGGGAGGCATGGTAGGGAGAGACACAGACATAAGGGGATCTGAGGCCTGCATGTCCAGTGGAGTGGGCAAATGAGGGAGAAGAGTGGGGAAGGGAAGACAGGGCTGGGGGAGTTAGGAGCTGGGGAGTGGGGCAGGAGGGCTGGGGCAGGAGAGAGGGCCAGGGCTGCCTACCTCGCATCTTGTGCCACGTCACAGTGTCCACCATGTGCATCTCACTGAGGAACAAAGGTGGTGGTCTTGGCCCCGTGACCCCTATGGCCTCAGAGACCACAAAGGGGGAACCAAGGTGCAGGGTGGGTTATACCATGCCCTGTTCTGCACAACCTCACAGAGGAGTAATTCTTCAGGACTCCCTACTCCAGGGGAAGCCCAAGTCCAGCCTGTCCTGTACAGCCTTTAGAAAGAACAAGTCTCCCAGATTCCCTCCTCCAGGAACCCCCCACACCTGCCCTGTCCTGGACAGCCTCACGAGAAGCGGCCTGGGGGCCCACACTGTGACAGTGTGGGGATGAGGACTCACACCCATACCCCATGAGTAGGTAGATAAGGATGGTGACGGAGAGGAAGACTCCGCGATGGGAGGAGTGTCGGCAGAGGAACAGCACGAGGTAGCACAGGAGGCTGAGCAGCACGACCCAAACCATGTGCAGCTGGAAGAAGTGGTAGAGGCTGAAGAACCCGCCTGCCACGGTGCTTGCGTGCTTCAGGTAGGATGGCAACCCTTCGGGTGAGAGACAGAGAGAGCAAGAAAGGCAAGTCGGGTGGCTGGTAGGAATGGGGGGGCAACCTGGGCAGAGGGCACAGCCTGGGCAAAGGCCTAGAGGTTGCAATGTGGTGGGATTGCAGGGGGCCCAAAGCAGGTGCTGGGGAGCTGGAGAGGTGGCCGGGCCGGGGTTTAAAGAAAAGAAACATCTATAAAGGGCATTTTGGGAACCCTGGAGGAAATCTGAATATCAACTTAAATTGGACAATATTATTGCACGCAGAGTACATTTCTTGAGGGGTGATGTTTGAGGCTGTGGTTATTAGGGGGAGATGTCCTTGTTCTTGGGGGGCACACACTGAAGGATTTGAGGTGAAGTGTCAGCAGTTTGATTCAGGAAGGTGATAGATAGATAGATAGATAGATAGATAGATAGATAGATAGATTAGATAGATAGATAGATAGATAGATAGGTAGGTAGATAGAACTAATGTGGCAAGATGTTGACAGTTGGAGAATCTGGTAATGCATATATGGGTGTTCATTGTACTGTTCTTTCAATTTAACTTTTTGGTAACTTTGAAATATTTCCAAATGATAAACTTGGGAAAAATAAAGCATCCACTTAAAATAAAAGGAAACAAAAAGGAAAGTGTAGAAACTTTGAATCTCAGATTTCCCAAATTCTCAGCATCCTATAGGAACCTTGGGGACTTGGAATCTTATCACTTGGATATAGGCTTGCTGTGATTGTGGAAACATTCCAGAATCCTAGAATCTAGAAATGTCATCATGCCTTGAAATCCAGAATGCCAGCATTTTGGAAGCTTAGAATGTGAGAATTTCAACTTGTCAGAATCCCCAAACCCTGTAACAGGGTACTTTGGGATTCCATGACCCTGAGACATCAGTATTCCAGAATCTTATAACCTTGGGATGTAGACATTTCAGGATCCCAAGATCCAAGAACCTCAGCTTTCCAGAATCCCATAACCCAGGAATACTGAAAGGCATGGCTGGGCATGGCAGGATGTGGCTTGGTGTGGTGTGGCATGGCGTGGCTGGGTGTAGTAGGATGTGGTGTGGCTAAATGGCACTTGGCCTGGTAGGATGTGGTGGGCTGGACATGTCGGAGCCTGGCTTGGCTTGGCAAGACATGGCAGGACAAGGTGTGGCTTGGTATGGATGAACGTGGCAAGTGTGTGGCACATGGTGTGGCAAGCACTTACCGAGCCTCCAGAGGAGGCGGCAGGCGAGGCAGATGGCGAGGAGCAGCCAGATCTGGTCAAGGCCCTGCTGGGCAGTAGGAAGGAGACAGCCCTGCAGCAGCTGCTGGAAAAATTCCTGGCGGCTGAAGGTGGCCATTGCGGACCCCTATGGATGGATGGACAGATGGACAGACCTGCCAAAGGGGTACACAGAGGGAGCCCAGATGTCCACGGGGCAGACCATGCTCAAGGGATGGACTTGAGCACTCAGATTTCAGTTTGGGGCTGTCCAACCCATGTAGAGACATGGCCCTGGGGGCCTGGGAGAGGGTATGAGTGTCAGGTACATTAGCCTGAGCTGCCAACTGTGCATATGTGGGTGTCCTGGGTGCACACACACAGCCCATGACCTGTGGTGGATGAAGGACCTGTGTCTCTTGTATGCTGTGAACAGTCCGGGTCCAATGGTGATTGAATGGTGTACATTCCAGGCCCGTATATCAAATGGCAGGGACCCCCTGGTTTCCAAGGTAGATTCACTCTGTGTGGAGGGCAGACAGGGAGATCCTGTGACACTTGGGGGCCGTGTGCATCTCTCCTTTTAAGGATGTGGGGGTGTCCTGTATCCCCCGCACGCTTCATCTCACCCCCACCCGACCTCCTGCAGCCGCCAACAAAGCCCTGCCCAGGCCTGGAGGCTGCAGGGAGGTGGAGGTGGTGGTAGGGGGCAGAGCAGGAGGGGGAGTGGGAAAGGTGATGGAGGGGGGACCCAGGACACGAGCTGCAGACCCGCACGGAGAGGCCGGCTCAGGATGGGAGCAGTGGAACCGCGCGCGCACTACTGAAGACCTACCTGGCAGGAAGGAAGCCGCGGTCCTGGGGGCCGGGGACGCACCACCGCCGCCACCGTCGCCGCCTCCTCCGGGCAGCCTCCCCCGCAGGCCGCAAGGCCGGGACGAGCTGCGGTTCCCAGAGCGGCGCGGAGAGCGGGCCCTTTAAATCCCGGGGAGGCCCGGCCGGCCGGCTCGGCCAATGAGAGGACGGGAGCGGGGCGGGGACAGCGAGGAGGGGGACCGAGGGAAGGAGGAGCGGGAGAGCGAGAGGAGCGGGGCGCCAGAGGACGTCCGCGCGCCGAGCTTTCGCGCCCGCACCTTTCCGGCCTCTTGGTGTTCCAGCCCCGGAACGTTCGCGTCTGGAGGTCTCCTGGCCGTCCAGGAACAAACTTTCGACTCATGCAATTCCTAATCCTCGGAAGCTGGGATGGGAAAGATGGGGGAGGGAGGAGGGGAAGCCTGCTCCCCCTTGATGCTACCCCGCGCGCGTGCTCTCCACGCTGTCGTGACCCCGTTTCACGGATGGGAAAATAAACGGAGATCTCTCCTTCCCCATCCTTTGAGGGAACTAAAGGAATTCTCACTCTCCCCACCCCCCAGGGACGGGCCAGAAACATTCAATAAGTACTAATTGGGTCACCTAGGAGCACGAATTAGGCGCCTGTGCTTCCCCTAGGGACTCCTTGTGAGCACTTGGCTTGTCGTTGAGAACTGATTTACCTGCGAAATTCCCCACCGGACTCACCGCCGCACTGAGGGTAACTCCAGCAGCTGGTGTGTTCCCTGTGAACCAGGAGGCTAGTACGGAGCACCGATTGGGAGCGTTTATAAAGCATTTACAGCGTCCTCAACAATGGTTTGAATTGGGCTCTACCTGCACCAACACTGAGGATTTATGCAGCACCTGCTCTCTGCCTCCCCTGCCCTGCAGTGTGCAGTGTCTGGGCACTCCGTTCTGTCCCTAGGCTGATGAGGGGCCTGTTTTTCCAAACCAACATTTACTGGGCACGTACTGCGTGCTTAGCTACGTATGAGGTGGAAGGGAGAAGGAAGCCCAGGTCAAGCTGGACCCCACTGTGACCTGAGGAGCTAAGGAAAACAGGTTCTGATCAGATTCATGCCCGCCTGTTGGGAGCTGGGCAAGTCATGCCCGCTCACCGGGCTTCAGTGTCCCTTTCTGTTGAACAAAAGAGTGGGATTAGCAGTTCTTTGCTTGGAAATACCAATGGCAATTGAAGAGGAATGTTTGTGTCCTCTCTTTTTTTTTAAATTAACATGAAGTTAAATGGAGTTTTAACTCATAAATTAATATTCATGTGTTACAAATGAAAAACATTTAACAGTGAGAATATATATAATGAATAAATTACATAGGCCAGATGCACAAATACTAATTCCTTTCCTTAACAACAGGACACAGGTCATGAATTTTATGATTTAGACTTCATTCTAATTTTTTTCCTCACTTTTCAAACACACCCAAGGAGAATCAACGATGACCCACAGCACGTGCGGGAAATATTTCCCTTAGTTGCAAGACATGGCATTTAAAATGGGAAGATCTTCACTATGCGTGACCCTGAGCTTCACAGACTTGATTGTTTCCATCTAGTCTTTTGATGTGTGTGACAAAGAACTAGTGTCTAGATTCTAGAACATATAAAGGACACCTACAAATCAATGAGAAAAGGACAAACAGTACACTAAAGAACGGACAGGGGACATGACTAGGTCATTCACAGCAGAAGACTCTGAAATGGCCAGTATGTATACTATATGAAAAGATAATTCCATCTCTTTCGTTATCAGGGAAATGCAAACTTAAAACGATGGTTTGATACCATTTCACATCTACTAGATGTGGTGTTTCATATTTTTATCACTGGAGCTTAGTAGAATGGGCACTCAATAAATATCTGTCAAATTTTATAGCCTTCATGGTCATTCTGGGTTATGGTTTCCGGGGCATTTTAAATGGTCTCCCCATAATTAAAGAGATGAGATCTCATAAAAATGATATCCCATTTTTCACTTACTAGATTGGCCAAAAAAAAAAAAACAAAGCCAAGCCTCATAATAATGACATATTTACTCTCTCTCTAGCTCTTTGTCTCTCTCTGTATAGTTCGCTCGCTCTATCTATCTGTCTGTCTATCTATCTATCTATCTAATTTTTTCTAAACTATTTGATAGTAGTTATTGATGTAATGCCCTTTCAGCGAAATACTTCAATATGAATTTCCTAAGAACAAAAACATTTTCTTATGTTCCTACCAGCAGAGTATGAGGGTTCCAATTTCTCCACGTGTTCACTAATACTTCTTGTTGTCTGACTTTTTGATTTTAGTCATCCTAGCAAGTGTGCTAATAACGTCCTTTTATAGGAAAAGGAAATCCTAGGTCATGAGATGCATTCTGCTATCAGGTCTTTTCAGTCTCCTTCAATCTGGAACGATGTGTCAGTCTTCCCTTAACTTTCATGATCTTGATGTTTTGGAAGAGCACAGGCCAGTTTTTTTGAAGAATGTCCTTCAATTTGGATTTATCTGAAGTTTCCTCAAGATTAGATTTGGCTTCTGCATTTTTGGCATGAATTCCATAGGAGTGACACTGTGTTCATCTCAGTGTATCTGAAGGCACAAAGTATTGGTTAATTTCAAAATTGTTGGTATTAGTTTCGATCATTTGATTAGGGTGTTTCCCGGGTTTCTCCACTGTCAATGTACTCTTTCTCTTTGTAATTAACAGGTATCTTGTAGGGACATACTTTGAGATTACGTAGCTCTATTTTTCCTCAAACTTCCACTCACTAGTTTAGCATCCATTGGCGATTCTTGCCTGAAGCAATTACCACTATGATGGTGAGCAAATAATGATTTTCTTTTACATGTATAGCTGGGATTTTACTCTCAGGAAGAGCTTTCCCTCCTTCCTTGTGTATTTATTTATTCATTTGTTTATTTGTAGCAGTATGGGACACCTGGATTCTTCTTTTACTTTACAGGTTAAAATCAGTTACCATCTTTATTTATTTATAAAAGTAGCTAACTGAGATCTAATTTACATGCCATAAAATTCACCCGTGTTGGTTGTGCAATGCAATGGTAGTATATTTATAGACTTGTGTAAAAATCGCCACAGTCTAATTTTAGGACATTTTAATCACCCCAAAAAGAAACCTTGTGCCCATGAGCAGTGAGTCCCATCTGCCCCTGACAGCCCTAGGCAACCACGGATCTCTTTCTGTCTCTAAAGATTTGCTTCTTTTGGACATTCTATATAAATGAAGTCATACAACATGTCATCTTTTGTGTCTTGTTTCTTTCGCCGAGCATGTTTTTAAAATTGTGATAAAATACACAAAACATCAAGTTTACCATCTTAACCATTTTTAAGTGTATAGTTCAGTAGCATTAAGTATATGCACACTGTTGTGCAATAAACACCACCATCCATCTCCAGAACTTTTTTCATCTTCCCAACCCCACGCATACCCACTAAACACCAACTCCCCGTTCCCTCCTTGCCCACCTCCTGGCAACCAAAGGTCTACTTTCTGTTTCTATGAATTTGACTACTCTAAGTACCACATATAAATGGAATCATACAGTATTTGCTGTTTTGTGACTGCCTTTTTTCACTTAGCATAATGTCCTCAAGGTTCATCCATGTTGTAGCATGTGACAGGATTTCCTTCCTTTTTAAGGCTGAATAATATTCCATTGTATGTGTGTGCCACACTTTGCTTATCCACTCATCCGTCGTTGGACACTTGGGATGCATCCACCTTTTGGCTATTGTGAATAATGCTGCTATGAATGTGGGTGTACAGATATCTCTTCGAGTCCCTGCTTGCAGTTCTTTTGGGTCTATATCCAGAAATGGAATTGCTGGATCATATGGTAATTCTATTTTTAGTTTTTTGAGGAGCCGCCATACTGTTTTCCACAGTGGCTGTACCATTTTACATTCCCACTAACAGTGCACGAGGGTCCCAACAAGGGTATCTCGCCAACATTTGTTATTTTTTGTCACTTTATTTTTTACAGTAGCCATCCTAATGGGTGTGAGGTGGTATCTCATTGTGGTTTTGACTTGTATTTCCCTAATGATTAATGATGTTTAGCATTTTTTCATGTGGTTATTGGCTCTATTTACATATTTGCTTTGGAGAAATGTCTATTCAAGTCCTTTGCCCATTTTTAAATGGGGTTGTTTGTTTTTTTGTTGTTGCTGAGTTGTAGGTTTTTTTTATGTATTCTAGATATTAGCCCCTTATCAGATATATGATTTGTAAATATTCTCTCCCATTCCGTGGGTTTCCTTTCCACTCTGTTGGTTGTGTCCTTTGATGCACAGAAGTTTTAAATTTTGAGATAGCCAACTTATCTATTTTTTCTTTCGTTGCCTGTTCTTTTGGTGTCATATCCAAGAAATCATTACCAAATCCAATGTCATGAAGCTTTCCCCTATGTTTTCTTCCAAGATGTTTATAGTTTTAGACCTTACATTTAGGTGTTTGATCCATTTTGAGTTAATTTTTGTATATGATGTGAGGTAAGGGACCAACTTCATTCTTTTGCATGTGGATGTCCAGTTTTCCCATCATTTGTTGAAAAGAACTATTGTTATTTATTTTTATGCTCAAATTGTTCTAAATTTGGCCAGTGGGAGTCTCCTCAAGCTGGCTCCTTTGTCCTTTTGACATATCTCCATCATTTTTTGAGCGCATCTTTCCTTAAGATCACATCAGAATGTTTCAGGCTCATCTTGTACTTTCCCAGTCCTGGCCCTGGAGTCAGCCATTTCCCCCAAGAAGACTTGTTTCCTTTTAGTAGAGAATGGCATTTAGGAAACCAAGATCTGAATGCCAGAAGTGCTCATTGCTTCTGTAGTGTTGCTGATTCTAAGCCTTCTCAGTGGACAGAGTTAGGATGTGAATATAGATGTGTATATGTAGTGAATCCATATGCACATGTGTGTAAGTACATACACACATTTATCTTTCTACTTAGATATTGAAATCCATGAGTGCCTACTGACATCTGCAATACCAATCCAATGTGAGAGCATTCATTCTAGCCTTTTCCTTTGCTATTTTGTAACTCCCTTCTTCAACAGTGAGAAAGCTGATTCTCATTATCCACAAGAATTTTACTTATTTGCTCAGTCCTAGGATGCACGTTCAGTAGTTTCAGTTTCACTAACCATTAACACTAACCGTTAGAAGACAGGTCTACTGACTAGAGGTCAATATTTGTTACAGTCCTTTTTGTTGTTAGCCTGATGGATACTGTGTTCAAGTTATGAGGATTAGTTCTTCTTCCTGCTCCCCTTCAGTGAGGCTGTGTTTGAAATACGATTAAGGTTCCTTTGTTTCTGATTGTATTCTGTTTCAGGATTCCCCCCATCCTTGTTAATTTTATTTATTTTTTATGGATGTGGAACATTAACTTGGTTTCAAAAGTCAGAACTATACCCACAAGCGTACTCAGAGGAGGATCGCTTCTTCATCCCATTCCTTCTAGCCTGCTTCCACCCAGCCCCTCTAAGGCAACCATTCTCACTCATTGCTGGTTTATCCTTTCTATGTTTCTTTTTATAAAGATAAGCAAATATATGTATGTTTTCTTATATCATCTTGCTTCTTACATGAAGTGTTGCAAACTGTAGATACTTTTGTGCATTTTGTTTTTTTCACTTTAACTGTATGTCCTAGAAATCAACCTTATTAGTTCATAGTTTTCTTCCTTGATCTTCTTTTTTAATTAATTTTTAATTGAGGTAACATTGTTATAGTTTGTAACACTATATAAATTGTTATAATTTATAACAATTGTTTTAATTGATAACATTATATAAATTTCGAGTGTACATCATATTTC